TTGGATTCACAAGAGAACCTGAGCTGGGTTCTTGAGAACCCAGATCTGGGTTCTCAGAGAACCCAGCTCGGGTTCTCACCAGAGAAATTCCTTTTTTTTTTTTTGGATGGATGGATTTGGTAAAATGCTTGAGTTTTCCTGGGATTTTGTTGTTGAATGTGCTTGAATGCTTGAGTTTGGTTGGGGTTTGTTCCGTGGGAAATAGATTTAGTGAGAAAGGTAAATTTGTAATTTTACTGTTTAAACCAATTTGGGTGTAAAAATGGGTGTCGGTTTATGGGTATAAGTATCGCTGTCCTTTTTATTATTATTATTTTTTGAACAAAGTATTAAAGGTGGGATTCGAATTGCGAACCCACCAGAGAAAGGAGACTGCACCTTCAAAATGGTCCGAAGGGTTAGGTGCCCAGTTTGAATCTTTTAGTGTTAGGTTTTTGTGAAATTTTAATTTTTGTGAAAGTGCTATGAAAAAGTAATTTCTCATTAAAGTATTGAATACCAAGGCTAATGATTTATTTATTTTTAATCAAAACTTAAAAAAGAGTTGAATTTAGTTTTGATGTGCAAGGTTTTATTAACACCTTAATAGTTAGATGACATTTTATCGTAAATATTTATTATTCAAAAGATTAAATTGATCGTAAAAACTTTATTTAATTTTTATTTATTAACTTAAAAATTTTAATTTTAAAATAGAAATCCAACACTATATAAAATGAAGCATCCAATGTTATGATGTTCCAACAAAAGAAGACTACTAGAGTATCCATGGAATCAAATCAAATTAAATTCTTCTACTTAACTCCAGGCTTATTCTATTATTATCTCCTATTTGAAATAGTAGTAATTCTTACTCTGATTTTTTACACGTTTATTTTGTTGTAGGTTTTTTTAATATGTATATATATATATTTATGTAAAAGACAAGTCAAGACATTTTGTCATTTTTAATGACAATGTAAACAATTTTAATTACATGATGAATGAAATCTAATTCAAACTTATATCATATTTAACACGTTTTATTTTGTACTTGATTAGGTGTCTTAACATTTTAAATAGAGTATAAAATTTTATAATTTAAGTTATGTCAAACTGTAAAATATTAGTTATTGAAAAAAGGATCCTCCCATAATATCAAGAGTTCCTTCTAATTTAATATTTGGTATTTTACAACTTAAATTATAAA